CCCCAAAACCCCAAAACCCCAAAACCCCAAAACCCCAAAACCCCAAAACCCCTTTAGATAACGTCGGGATAGAAAATGCAAAATAGATTTAAACACAATAATATTTCAACTCTTCAACAATCTCCTTCCTACCGAGTCTTTTTGCAAGATCAAGAGGAGTGTCTCCATCATAATTTTGGGTACTAGGATCCGCTCCAGCATTAATAAGAGATGTGATAATAATAGCAGAACTCATCATAGCAGCTAGGTGAAGAGGAGTCATCCCTCTAACATCAGCTACATATAGTTCAGCTCCTCACTTTATCAGAGTCATTGCATACTTCTCTCTCTTATAAAATATAGCATAATGCAAAGGAGTCATATTCTCATAATCAATTGAATTGAGTTGTTCGCCTGAATTATCACTCATCAAGATATGTGAAAACTCATGGAAATCATCAGCAACAATGTATTTTACAAGCTTAGAGTACTCCTCCTCCGAATTTTCTGAATAATTCGAATTTCCAAACCATTTCTTCTGAGTTATATCTATTCATTTGATCTTTGCATATCTTTTGAGCCTCATACAGATAGCATTCATGTTGTTCATCGCATCTATGTTTGTAATAATCAAGCTTACTCCTATCGCTGATTGACTGCTTGAAGATTCTTTCTGCTAGCTCTATAGGGGTCTCATCATCATTTGTAGGAATATCTAAGTCAGTGACAATATCTCCTTCGTATTGGCACAATAGATCAACGAATATGACTTCTTTTGAGAGAATAGCTATGTGCAATGGTGTCATTCCCTCGAAGTCTCCCTTTTCAACTTGAATATTTAGGTCTAAAGACTTGGATGATTTTAAGAGGATTTCTAGAACAATCTGGTTTCTTGATGCTATTCATTTATGTATAGCATTCATTCCAGACTCTGGGTCAATGGTATTTGCATTAAATCCAAGGATAAGCATTATATACACCATCTGTTTGCCTATCTTTGTATATGAACTATTTGGCATGAACTCATCATGGTGCTTCGAAGGAGTAATTGCAGCCTCGTAAAAAGAGTTACCCAGCAATTCATCTTGCTTTCTCTTGAGAATCTTACCTCTAGTCACCTTAGCTTCTTCAGAATCCTTTCTATCATCTTTGAAATAGGTGTAGAATAACCTTTCATTATCATCAACTCTATTCAAATGAAGTAGCTTGTATTCTATACTGTCATGGTCCAGCTTAGGCTCATCGTAATCAAATTGGAACTTCCCTAACAAGTTATTAATAGAAGGGAACTGCAGGTCCTCCTCGTCAAGATCTTGACTGTAATAATCACCTCTCTGAAGAGAAGTCCAGTTCTCAAGCACATAATCCAAATACCCCTGAAAGAGTACTCATTCATCCGAATATTGATCCTTGAACTGTGGAAAAGGTGCCCAAGGGCACTTATAAAAATCACAGAATATTGTAAAGCATAAATCCATTCTTTCTTGGTTATAAAAAGTAAACTTCGAAATTGGGGTATGATGGCTCTCAATGTCAAAAGCTCTATCTGAGACATCAAGTTCATAATCTCCAAATTTGTACAAGTTTACCCATTTAAATACCTTGAGGGAGTGATTACACAGTACAACCTTTAACAGCTTTTCAGAAATATCCATGGATACTTTCGTATTGGAAAGATATAAACCTTGTAAAGTTTTGTTCTCTATTAATGCTTGTGAGAGGCAGATTGCTCCCTCCTCAGAAAAATTCACATCAAACAGGTCTAACATTTTCAAATAGGTATTCTCTTTCAAAGCATCGCTCAAGTCAGAGACTCCTCTATTACCAAGAGGATTTGATGCCAAAGAAAGATAGGCGAGAGTAGCTGTTTTGAGGCCTTCAAAGAGAGGCTCAGCTCCTTTTCCTTGAATCCTATTGGTCTCCAAAGAGAGAACCTTCAGTGATCTTCATTTGGGCAAAGAATTACCAATAATAGCTGCTCCCTTGGCCGTTAAAAAGTTATTATCAAGAATAAGGATCCTGATGCCTCATTCAAGAGGAATGCTATTCTCCTCTGCATAATCTGGTGGGATCTTCCCAGTGAACACTTTCATGAAGGATTTCATGTATTCCCAATTGAAAAAGTTATGGGAAAGATTCAAAGCAAATAAGGTAGGATCTGTTTTTCTGATTCCTCTAAATCCATCGAACTTTAATCATTTAGCTATAAATGCTTTAGCCCAGAATTTCTGAATCTCGTGAAGACTAAAGATAGCGCTTTAACATGAGGAACTTTAGAAATCAATTTGAGCATAACCTCGATCTGACCCTTGTTCATTCCTTTGTCCTTAGAGTATTCTCCACCTAAATATTGTCTGTATTGCATCTTACCTATTAACATGACCTAAATAAACGATTTAGCATTAAAAAGATGTTATGCGAGTGACACAGTTTAACCGATGCCAGAGCTGGATAATTGTTTTTAATAAATTCACCATCTTTTTAAACCAAAACTTGGGCTAGATCTGAGTGCTCATCTCTAGTTAACCCAGTGAGGAATAAAGAAGACACAAAAAGTTTCAGAGAATTTAAACTGATTTTCTGTAAAGAAGTCCAACAAATAGTCATAATTAGTGATATAGCATAAAAGTATTACCTCAGGGAGATCTCTGTACTCCAAGTTATTATCATCAAGTATGCACTCTCTCAAGGCCAAGAAGATTTCTATGAAAATTGTGCTGGTTTCTTTAAATTCTCGAACTAAGCCTTTGTAGAAATTCAAAAATTTTGTAGTCTTATGCTGAGATTTGAAGAAGCAGGGTAACAACTAAATGATAAGACTGATTCCTACATATTCTTCAGTCACTGATCTGGCAGTTCCTATGAATTATCGACAAAATATACCGTATTCTATCAGTTCCAGCACAGTATTGATTTCCAACCGATTCATAAGCATGATAGCTTCAGACCGGTCAATCGACATAATCCTCCTCAGCTCGTCCCCTTCCTCCGACTTCTCATTAATATTAACCGATACAAAAGGAAGCAAATGATGAAAGCTCTCCATTCAAAAAATAAATAATAAATTGGGGTTTTGGGGTTTTGGGGTTTTGGGGTTTTGGGG